GTTTTTACTATGCGATTTTTTCACTTAAAATGGATAGGTTTTGAGAATTCTCTAAAGTTCATGCTAAATTGTCGTCTCTTGTAAGTGTTACCTTTCTTCCTTCAAAATGCTAGTACAATGGAGATTAAAATGTTAGTTGATCAAGTTTTCCTTCTTTCAGTCTATGTGTGACGAATTGGGCAATTCGATACAATGCGAGTGCGATAGCATGTGTTTGTGTACACCTCGTGTGCGTATACGCCGGATACGAGGTGCTGGTCAACCCTTGTTCCCATTCTGCCTAGAGCGCGCTTTGTAATGCGAACTGGGGGTGGTCACGGTGGATATGGTCGTGCGCGGGAGGGTTCTAGTGCCATCACGTGTCCGAAAAAGTTCACGTTGATTTGGCGCGGCCCGCTCACGGTCCCGCCGACCCCTTCAGACGCTGGCAAGTTTCTCGGGGCATTTGGGCAAACGTACATGAGGTGAAGCAGAGGTATGTCTATTGTGAGCCCCTAACAACTTTTGTTCTTTCGATTTGGTGCGTTTTCGGTCAACTGCTTCACAGTTCTAAGCATAATAGTCTTGAGGATTTTCCCCATCGTTTGAACCAAACTACATTTGTAACTTTGGTGAAGGAATTGTGAAGCGTCAGGAAACTTACCATTGATAATTTCCAGAGAGATATTATCATTATGAATTTGATCAGCCTATTTATAGCGTACATATCTAGTAGGTTTATGTGTAGCGTCAATGAAGGAATTCTCTGAATTTACTCAAAACATCGGTTAGATTTTTGCAAACTCGAGAAATTAAGTTGTTCTCGAAGCCGATGTCTGTATTATTCAAGATGTAGGTACTTTGAATTCACTCTTCATACCACCCGAGTATATTCTCAGGGTGAGATTACTGGGCTCTTTTTCCCAGATTGAACATGAACAGGTTTCGCTAGTTTCGAGGCTCTATCAAGTCTTATTCTTTTTATTCTAGAATGAGTGAATATTAGTTGATTGCATAGGCGAGGGGACCAATAATTTATATAGGGAAGAGTTAAGGAGTTTATGAAATTTTAATTAACCATTTTTTAAATTTCCGAGATAGCCTTGTGCTGAAGCCTGAGTTGTGCCCTGTGCCCTAAACTCTTTTGACAGCCTTAGCTGATTTTCTCCTTCTTCCGTCGCTTGCTTCTTAATCATTTGATCATATTGACCTTATTTAGATTCCTCCTCCTGCACCAGGAGAGAAGGCATGGTTTGAGAAGCTAGATCCGCATATGACTCAAGATCTTCTGAATGGTAAGAGTGGATATGTTGGATTTTCAAGGCAAAACTTCCTTTTGCAGAGATGTCTCAAGAATTTGCCAGCATATACAAGTCATGCAGAGAATGGTTGGCTCTCACGCGTTTCGTAGCAAAAGGGATTGTTAAACCTTCGACGCCGAGCCCCAACCCGGCAAGAAGCCCCGCTGAGGAGAAGGAAATACTGCCACCACCTCCCCCACCTCCTACATTTCACAAAAAAGTAGATTTATCGGAGTATAAGGTGAGGTACAGCTTGGTGCAAGGTTTTTGAAGTTTGCAGATGAGATTTGGATCAGCTATCAATGTGACACCTAATCTGAAAGAAAATATGTGCAAAAAGTAAATTATGCGTTGTCATTTGCGTGTTTGAGTATGCTGCGCTCACATTTTCATCCGTTTGTTATGCACCGCGTTGATGGCCTTTGATCTTGAAATTCTGATGTAGTATATCTTTTCTGGGAAAAATAAATGTTAGTCGACATAGATGAAATTGCTCATATTTTTGTTTTATACTTTCTCATTTCAAAGTTCGCGGTCGTAGCTTCCTAGCATTGAGTAGCAGCAGGTTCGCTGCGCTTGCAGCCAAAATGATGTCCCTTTT